CAGTTTGGGTCCATTAGCTCTATCCTCAATTTTAGATCATTCTCCAGTTCAAATGTAGACATTCTTCTTGGTGCAGATGCAATGATCTTTCAGCGCCTGTTGGTTTTATGCCCTCACAGCCTTATCCATGTTAGTCATTGCATGGTCACGTACAACTTCACGTTTGATGCCATCAGAACCAAAACGGGATTCATTTTCTTGTTATAGTCTCCAAAATGATTAGACTATTGCCTATTATTATGCGTCAGAATGCAAAACAAATTATGCTGCTCTGTGGTGCCTTGTTTGTGAACAAATCTGTAATGCCTGCATGACAAGGAGCCACTGTTCTCAGTGATTCTTGAATTGCAAATGTTGACACTTATCATATGAGAATAATCTCAGTTACAGCTTGAACATTCATGCAACAACAGTGTAAAGAGTGACTTGTTTCTTAAGTGAATGTAAAACTGCGTTTTAGACAACTAAACTCTTTGACTTGTCCTACTTTTTTTTGTAAGGTGCTGACTGCTGAGAGTAAATCCAACCGGAAACAATGTTTGATTTTTGATTAATGTGATTGAATTTTGGATTGATGAGAAGAAATTAAATGTGGTTGCAAGGGGATGCTCATTCTAGATACAGGAAATGTGTATAATTGAAGTATACATCTTACACTTAAATAAAGTGTACATTCATATATGCTTCCGACTCAATAGTGCAAATTTCTCAATGAATTTTAATCACTGAATTTCAACTTATATTGTAGCTTGAGCATGGACCCTTCAGATGTTGGTGAAGTTTCAATGAAACCATTGGAAACAGTTTCAGATGTAACCAGTGACATTCTGCACCCATATGTTAGCTAGGCAGCAGAAAGACTACGGCTCGAAATCTAGTGGTGATACATTAAGTGGAAGTTGGTCTCAGGATAATATCATCTACCTGCTGCAACTTGTTAGTATATTCTTAGCCTGTTCATTATTGATAATAGTATTTTCTTATGTATTAATGACTGCTGAATGTTCCTCTACAGCAACCAGATCACAAATAAATAATAGAATTAGTCAAACATTTGCCAGCAGCTCTTGCCCATTGGTATTCTATGCCTATCCTCCTTTATCTACGTTTATGTATCAGGCCTTTTCTTTACAAAAAGAATTAAAAAAAAGAAAAAGAAAATTGTACATGCAAGGGCGAATATTCTCAAGTTTTGACTAATAGGACATTACTTAATTGAAATGTTTTCCTTGACTATATTAATTTGTATTCGTTTCAGTTGGGCTATAAAGGTGGACTGTTTTCAGTACAGCTAGGGAACAATGAGATACTGTCTACATCACTAGGCTGTAGCGTAATGCATGGATACATGACTCTGATTTCTTTCCCTGGATGTGTTTAAACTTGTGCATTTCGGCAAGTGAAGTGAACTAAAGCCATATAGCTGCAGCTTGCAATATATGTGTTGTTTTGCAATCATCTTCTTGATTTATATTGTTTCTTTTAAAGAGCTGGAGATCAGTGCAGATTTTCCCAAATGTTGGATTTTCTGTGTTATAGTCATCATGTAATAATCATTTTTCTGTTCTAGTTTTGCAACTCTAATTTTTGCCTATCCCTACTACCATCCCAAAAAAATGAAATTACTTAAATAGCTTCTGATCAACACATGCTGGATATATTGTTTGCTGTTGATTGGTGAACTTTAATGAGACAGTTGCAGCCCGTTTACTGCTTATTGCACTGGCACTCGACAAAGGGACTTGTTTCTGGATATAGTTGAGTAGATACTAGATAGGGAAAGCCTACTCAGCAACCAGCCTTGGATTGGCCATGCCCTGTGTCTTTTTTTTTTCCCCTCTAATCGATCCCAGTGGATATATTAAAATTTGTTTGCATGTTTGGTTTCCACATCTAAAATTGTGTTTGTATTTTTCCTAAGTGACTTGTTTGGACTTGGAAATGGATCACTTTCACAACTGTGTTCGAGTTTAAGAATTTACTAATTCTCCTCTTTAAGAGTTGCATAGGATTCGATTTGGGTTGTAAAAGTGTAGAAAACTACGAAGAGAAAATTTCTTATATGTCAAGTATGTAGCCTGATTCCTAGCTTAAAATTGGTTAATTGTTGACTTTATACTGTTAATATGGTACATGATCGACACTAACAATTTCACAGACAATTGACTGAACGATAAAACTGATTTATGTTTAACTAAATTTATTACGAGATCATCGTCTTAGATGAACTTAAACATCAATTTCACTATTTTTTTCTTCCGAAACGATAGAAGCTTTTATTACTCAAAAGGGTAACCATACATAATCATCAACTTCACTATGACAAATTTCTAAAGCTAGAAATTGGCCGCTCAGGAATCAACTCACTTGTTGCAACCACGGTTTAACGTCTCATACCACCTCTATCCAACTACAGCCAGGAAATTTTTTCAGTTTCTTTTTCTTCATTATCCTCTTCAGCCTCGTAGCTTTTCCCCACCTACTGGAAGCAGAATATAGATTTGACAACAAAACACTACTTCCTCGACTCTCAGGCTCAAGTTTAACCAGCTGATCTGCCGCAATTTCTGCTAGATCGACATTGCCATGCTGTCTACATGCACCTAATAATGCTCCCCACACAAATAAGTCAGGCTCCACTGGCATCCTCTGAATGAAACCATAGGCCTCGGCAAGCTTCCCTGCCTTTCCAAGAAGATCAACCACGCAAGCATAATGCTCTAATCTTGGCTCAATCCCATACTTTTCTTGCATCAATTGGAATAGGCTCTCTCCAAGTGGTACCTTCCCTGCATGACTACAAGCTGTCAGAGCAGCAGTAAAAGTCAAGTGATTCAGCTCTCTTTCTTCCTCTCTTAGCATTTTGTTGAATAGTTCAATTGCTTTGTCAGAATGTCCGTGATTTGCATAACCAAAAATCATGGAATTCCAAGTAACTGTATTCCTTTCAGGCATGTTGTCAAACAACCCCCTTGCTTCATTGATATACCCGCATTTGGCGTACATGTCGATGAGAGCACTCCTGACAAAGATATCCTTCTCCATTTCCATCACGATTGCATAGCCATGTATTTCCTTTCCATGTTTTATATCTGCTGCAGTTGCACAAGCAGGCAAGAGACCACTGATTGTAGCTGTACTCGGACGCGTCCCAGCATCCAACATCCATTTAAATGTATCAAAAGCCTCTTTGTTACAAAAGTTCTGCACAAAACCAGAAATTACAGAAGTCCAGGACACCATATCAGGCTCAATCCCATCTTTGCGCATCTGTCTGAACGTTTCCCAAACCATCACTTCATCATTTTCTTGCGAAAATCCAGCAATAATTGTATTCCATGTGATCACATTGGTCTTCATTCCTAGTAACTTCATTTCTTGAACCAAAACCAATGCCTGCTTAACAATCCCATGTTGAACATATCCAGAAACCATAGCATTCAGAGCCACTAAATCTTTATCCGCCATCCTGTCAAACACCCTTTTTGCACTCTTGATGTTCACACATTTCGAATACATATCAATCAGCGCACTGATCACAAAAGCATCAGACTCAAAATCATATTTCACCACCAAAGCATGTACTGTTTCACCAGTTCGCATATCGGAGAGTTGCCCACAAGCTTTTAGTGCACTAGGAATGACAAACTCACTGAGCTTTCGTCCTTCCTTTTGCATTTCAGAGAAAACATGCATTGCCTCCTGATACAACCCATTGCGAGCATAGGCCCCAATTAGAGCAACCCAACGTCGAACATTTGACTTGGGAATTTCATCGAACAGCTTCTGAGCATGGGATAACTGTTTGCACTCAGTATAAAAGGCTATGAGCTTAGAAGCGAAGTGGGGTTTACAAGCCAACCCGTTGATAATCAGGTGAGCGTGTAAAGCTCTACCAGATTGCAGGGCTCGATCTCGACCGACCAAATTTCTCAATGATTTTTGTGTAGCTATTGGATGAGGAGTGAAAGGGACGGAAACTTAAAAGAAATTTCTGCAGAGGGCTCCATCTGGGAACGATTGTTGTACTAAGATCAGCCCTCCTAAACATGTGAATATCTACATTGGTTTAGGCAAGATCAATGTTGACACATATACAGAAGCTCTTCAAAATTCAAATCCACATCCCCGGTTATACGTAGGGTAGAAATCTCCGAACTTGATCTAAAATTAACAAAGCAGTTTAATGTTTTAAACCTTAATTGTGACAAAATATATGAGCACTTGGCTGCATTAGATGAAAGTGGTAATCGAAAATTGTACCTCTTTTTTCTTTCGTGAAATGGTATGCTGAAACGAAAGCTCTTTCTTCCAAGAGCTGAGAGTTATTGATGGATAGAAAATTGCGCTGGGAATAAAAGAACAAGGAAAAAAGAAACGAAACGCCGTTCAAAGAGGTAAGACCATGTAAGCTACAAACTTGAATCTAGTTTATCACCAGGGAAATGCTTCATGACTATTATCAATTCAAATAAATGCATGCATACATACATAATAACAATTGTACTACATGCTAATTTAAAGGGAAAATCTACCAAGAGTTCTACAGAGGTACAATTATGATCCCTCACAGGAAAAAAAAAAAAGTAAAGGGATGATTTTGACAAGTCTTTCTTGAAAACTACCATCCCTATGCTTGAAAATACTTCCAAAAGCAAGCATTACGAGATTGTACAGCATGTTCAAGAAAGAATCCTAGTTGCTGCTTTCTACATTTTGGTAAAATTGGTTGAGACATGCTCTCATCTTAGCTACATGGCGTCATTGATAAGTAGTGGACAATTCTCCATTGCATTCTGATTGCATTGGAGTCTCAAGTCCCTCTGAAAGTAGACTGACATCCATTTTGAACTCCTCTGATCAATTCAATGAAATTCGTTTAGTAGACTCCTGCAAATGCAGTACGATACACCTTGCAGCATGGTCAGATTAAAGAATTTTACTTCTAGTTCACAAAGGGGTCACTAACTTAAGATGGGTTATCCACATCTTAGTTAGCGTCACCAGAAATCCCCACAAGAACAGCAACCCTGCTTGAAGTGATGAAACCTGTAATTATCCCTTAGTAATATTTCATGTTTAGTAATCTTTGATATGTGCTTCATTGTTGTGTGGCAATCTGAGCAGACTCGAATGTTCTTGAAAATACGAATAGGGGTTCCAGCAGGCAAATTTAATAAGCCAAAGCAAACTGCAAGCTTCTCACTATGATACAAAAGCTTCCCTTCATTACATAGTCCTAGTTCTGTATGAGGTGTAGATATCTCACTCAAAGTCGAAGCATGATTGACTACCCTGATATCATTAATGAGCTTCTCTAACAGGTCATATACTTCTGGAGTTTGAGGGTGAGTTGTATCTCCTGAAAAGAACTTGTACGTTTTATTTTTAACCTCAATCCAGCTATAACCTGGTTCCTTCTTAACCTCCTTCAGTTTCATTAGTTCTCTTTGCTTAACCAATTCACCTAATCTTCCTACATCAAAGTACATGTTTGACAAGGTGACATGAACTGATGCATCATCTGGTTCTAATTCTAGGATACGATTGGCAACATATTCCCCCAGTTGAAGGTCACAGTGACATCTGCAACCCGCGAGCAATGGTCTCCATATTGGAGCAGTGGGCTTGATTGGCAATCTTTTTATGAAATCTAGAGCATCCTCCAGATGTCCTGATCTGCTAAACAAGTCTACCATGCAGCAATAATGTGTTTCCTCAGGTATAACACTGTAGTTCATCAACATGGATTTGAAAAATTCTTTGCCTTCTTGAACTAATCCGCAGTGGCTACAAGCAGAAAGAACTGCAAGAAAAGTAGAACCACTTGGCTTTACACCCTCCACAACCATCTTTTTAAACAAAGATACAGCCTTCTCAAAGTATCCATGCTGTGAGTAAGCTTTGACCAAGCAATTCCATGACACAATATCCGGCATTGATATCTGGTCAAATACCTTTTCAGCATCATCTAAACTGCCACATTTTCCATACGCTTCAATTAACGAGCTTGCAACATGTAAGTTTCTTTCAGAGCTGGCTTTAATCACCCAACAATGAATTTGCCTGCTTGTGGAAAGGGATGGAAAAGAAGAACAAGCTTTCAGGGCATTTGAAAAGGTGTACTCATCAATTGGTACGTAATTTAGAACCATTTTATGAAAAGCCTTCAATGCTGCTTCTATGTTATTATTGTGAACAAACCCTGCAATTAGTGCATTCCATGATACAGCGGATGCAATTGTACCCATCTCCTGAAGCTGTTTTTCAGCATTATCCATTTGCCCAAGCTCTGTATACATGTCTACGATTGCAGTGCCAACAAAAGCTCCGGAAGCCATGCCCTTTTTAACTAGTTGAGCATGAAGTGCATAACCATTGTCAAACTGCTTTATACCTCCACAAGAAGATAAGGCCATGGTCAATGTATATTCATTTGGTTCAAATCCATGTTGTCTCATCAAGTAGAACTGCAGCAGGGCCTTCTCCAATGCTCTTTGCTGGTAAAGTCCAGATATAATGGCAGTCCAAGATACAACATTCTTCTTAGGAAGACTTTGAAACAAACTTTGAGCATTCTCCATCATCCCAAACTTGCAATACATTGTCAAAAGAGAATTAGCAACAACTCCATTAACTACATGCTGCAGCTTCACTACATGTGCATGGAGCTGAATCCCTTCATTGATAGCAAAAACACTCCCACAACCAGATATCATGATCGAAAATGTGTAGTGATTCGGCCTTATTTCCCAAACTCCCATCTGTGCAAAGAAGCCTAAAGCTTCATCAAACATTTCATTGCTCAGAAACCCAGAAATCAAGCAATTATATGAAGCTACATCAATGGAAAGCATCCCATCAAAAACCTTCACTGCACTACCAATTTCGCCACACTTGGCATACATATTAACAAGAGCTGTATCCACAATCTTGTCACCACAAAACCCTGTCTTTATCACCAAAGCATGAAATATCTTGCCAACTCCTAAATTTCCTTCCCTACTGCAATAACTCAGTTGATCTACAATATTTTTCTTATCCGTCAAATTCCATTCCCAACAAAGCAAACCAGGCATTGCATTTACTCCCTGCTCTTTACATGCATCGTAAATGATTCCACCAATTAGTTCAAAGTCGGTGTCTTCTATTACACCCATTTCACTTCCATTTACAGGACGAGTCATACCGGAACCCGAGACAGAAACATTAATCCTTTGAGCGATTTTGTCAAGCAACTTAAAGTCATTCCTGAACCTGAGATGCTCAATTCCAAATTTCTTAATCCTTTGAGGCTCAAGAGGCTCTTTTTTGTTGCAAGCAAAAGAACATAAAGGTGAACATATTCCATATAGTCAATATTTTTGGCATAAGTCATCATACATGATCTGAAAAAAAAAAAAAAGGAAGCTATGACTTTTTAACACCATGTTATGAGGTATTTTTAAAACATTGATATTTTTAAATATCAATGTGGCATTTGGCTGATTCAAACGAGTTTCTTGGTTGATAATTTGATTGGTCTAAGTTTTACAGTACGTTTTTTCCTTTTTTGATTCTCAAAAGCTATGCTAAATCATAAACTAAAAAGAATCATAATTCTCAAAAGATACTAATTAATAGTTAATTACCACTTTTTAAAATATTTTTTAGCAAGAAATGGGTGAGATTTAAAAAATTGAAATGTAGCACAAGAATTAGAATCCAGAACCTTACACGTCTCAATTTTAGCCATTAAATCAGAATCTTCTTGACAGTCAATTACCACGATAGTTTGCCAAAAAGTGTAGCAGTGTATGTATTAATGTGTAAGTTTTTTCCCATGTCTCGTGTTGGTGTTTTATTCATAGCCTGAAGCAACGTTAACAACAATTAAGAGCGGTATCTCGTTATCATGCTTTTTTGGAGATGTTTTAAAATATTTATCATGTATAAAAATTAAATTTTTGATACGACAAATAAATTGATATATATATATATATATATATATATATATATATATATTTTTTCATCTTTGTCGACTTCTGGTGGTTAAAAATAGGTAACAATTTGTCAACCGGGGGATTTAAGGGCCGCACCACAAAAGGGATAGATGCCGTCCCATCCACAAGCGTTCTCCTCTCCCCTTGAAGGAGGAGAAAATCACCGGAAACTACTGGCTGTAGTTATGAATACAAGTTCAAGAACATGCATGGATTTGCTCCGTCTCTGACACCCTTTAGAAACTTCCTAGCTGTAAAACCATTATTGTTCTCTGAAGCTCAATCCAAGTTTTTGGTACCGGATTGCAGCAAGTTTATTGTGATAAAGCAACCGGGTTTTTCTCACACTTTGAGCTGCAGAAACTACTACTGCTATGGAGAGAGGAGAAATAAGAGGTGCGCTAGTGTGAGGGCGAGTCGAAGAGAGTCTCCACACGAAGTTTTAGGAGTGTCTCCTTCTGCAACTCCCAATGATATCAAAAGGGCCTATCGCAAGCTCGCTCTCAAGTATCATCCCGATGTCAATAAGGAGGTGTGCTTCATTAATCTTGGTCATTATATTTATGGGATTTATTAGTGTTTTCTGGTATTTTCTCCTGCTGATCTATAGTCTGTGTTCCTGTGATCTTTGTCCACTTAGTTGAAATTGTCACACATCTCAAACCTAATTTACTGTTACTATGCAAGATTAACATCAATATGTTTAGAAAAGTGATGATTTTTGAGCACTCGTCCAAGGAAATACGTATAGACTGATTTAAATTTTGATTTCCTGGTTCAAAGTTTGGTTTCCTCGAGTAGGAACGTGAGCGGGTACAAATAATGCTGCCTCGACGAACTTTGTCAACCAAAGTCGGAAAATTTTAATACTAGCCTTTACTCCAGCTAGCTAGATCTTAAAAGACTTTCCTTGGGACATATAATAATATCCTCTGTTATTTTTGTCTGAAGACTTCACTCGGTTCGCTGGTGTATATAAACCATTTCGAGAAATATGGCCAATTAATAAAATTGGAACTGTATACAATGTTGCCTTGTGAGCTCTTTGAGAATTGAAAGCTGCATCTTGGGTGGTTAATGGTAAGGATACGTTGGAGAAATTCCTAGAAATTGTGCTGTTATTCTTTGTATTTCCTCTTCCTTTCTTGCATTCTTCTTTTAATCTCCTTAAGAATCTTTTGCCTTGCATTTTGGGTGCCGCATCAGCACTCAATTGTCCTTGTTAAGGTATTGATAATCTTTTAGTAAATATTAGAGACGATTGACTGATGCTGGAATTTTCATGCTCTCTCCGCTTTCTTCACCCTCTTATTATAGTGCACAATTACCCTTGTCTCTCTTCCAAATTGCACGTCTCCTTGGCTAATGTCCATCAGAAACCAATTGTCTAGTTCCTTTCTGCTAGCTTCTCAACAGGGCCGAAGCATCTAATTGCTAGCAGGCACTGCCACGTTTACCTTTTGGTGTACTTGTTGTGGGGCTTTAACTCAAGGCCAGTAGTAAGTTTGCAGAAAGGAAGAGAGAGAGAGAGGGATGGGGAGAGGAGGGAGGGAAGTGGAGGTGAGTATGAGGGTGAAAGTGGAATGCATATAGTGGTGGCAAAAGGAGGACTTCTGATGGGTCAAATATCATGGAAGTGGTTCAATCCATATTTGAGCTTGTCTCATTATACCTTCTGGCAGAGGACATTAACTTTATTTTGCATTTGAGACAATGAACAGACAGAGTCTCAGAAGATGGTTTTTCCATGTCTAAAGGATTTAACATATTTGAGCTCATCTCATTATACCTTGTGGCAGAGGACATTAGCTTTATTTTGCATTTGAGACAATGAACAGACAGAGTCTCAGAAGATGGTTTTCCATGTCTAAAGGATTTAACTATGTTTATTAAACTGCCAGTAATGACATCAAGCAAATATTGTTACTTGGGACTCTATTCTAACTTCAAGGGCTTGTCTTTTGATAACATCCATCATCCCTCTACTGTCAAGCTCATTTCATTAATGCTGTTAAGAACAAAAGGAGTATCATTTAATTCGGTTATTTATTCAATCATGACTACTAGCATGATTGTCTATCGAGCTGATTTATATGATGATTGCAAATTTTCAAGGCTATTCGCAAATAAGCATCTCATACAACACTAGAATGTCACGTTCGGACAAGAATTGACATGTTAATAGAAGAGTCCTGGCTCATTTTATTACCTTATTGCCTTTCTAAGTACATGTTTTTTTCCTACTTTTTCTAACATCTTTTAAGCACTCTATACAGAAAAGATGCTTCTCGTTCCATTTTGGTTCTGTATACTGTGACAATTGTCAAATGGTGGACTCCATTGGAGTGAAAATATTTGAAAGTGTAAATCGCGTTCTCAATCAGCCACAAGCGGTAGTTTGCTGTTATTCTGGAATATGGATTAACAACATAATGTAAATGGAACAAGGGGTAAATATTGTCTGCTTAAAATCTTTGAAGAGCAAAGAATTTGTAAATCCAGGCTATTTTGTGTAATTCACTCAAAGGGATTTCAGTTGTGTTAACCTTGAAATATGAGTTCATGTATCAGACATACATTATTGGTTCACCTCCAACTCTTTGTACCCATTACAACCTCTGATTCTTTCTCCGTTTAATATCTGCAGGCGAATGCACAAGAAAGATTCATGCGGATTAAGCATGCGTACAATACATTGCTAAATAAATCTGACAGAAGATTTGATAAGGGAAACCGTGGATCTGAATCTTCTTATTCCACAGCTGGTAGAAATGATAATTGGACTGTGAACAATGATGAAGAGTTTTATGGATTTGGTAAAATCTACCTGCTCTTGGAAATCTTATGCTGTTTGACTAATGAGATTATTGGTTTCTGTGCTGCATTTATGTGTTACTTTTGTTTTCTGTTTGCTTTTACTCTGAACAACCTTAAGTTGTGAGAAATGTCTTAGAAGGTCAGTTAGCTACCCTGGCTTTGTCCTGTCCTCCTTTTTTTCCCACTGGTACGAACTTGACATTTCATCCAAAACGAGTCACAGCTTGTCTTGCCCTAACAACTTGTACAAATTGATGTTATTGTAATTGTTCTTTATGCAATTTTCAGTTCTAGCTTTTCATTTCTATTTTGCAAGGCATTGCATGAACACAGAGCGCATCTAATGCTTTAGAGTATGACATTCTCTCCCATCTATTCTCATGTTTAACCCCTTCATGCTGCAGGTAACTTTTTGAGGGATGTCCAAATATCCATAGGTAGATATGTGCACTTTGCATGACAATGAGAGCCCTGATACCACCTTGCATTATCTTTCTTAAAAATGCTTTTCATCTCTGTCTTGAAGTTAATATGCACATGGTTTTGACGTTTAGATGTTTTGTTGCAGAGGACTTCTTTAAGGATCTTCAAGAAGAATTTCGGAACTGGGAGGCTGGTGCTGATTCGCAAGGAAAGCCAAAGAGCTTGTGGGAGGAATTGGCGGTAAGAGATTTTCTGCGCTTGAAGTAGACTGAGTAGAAATTCATTAGAAAGAGGGAGGTGCTTGCTGGGTAAAAGCACTATTGGTTCTCTTATGTTATTTCTTTGTTCTTTTGAGCCTGGGGGTTGAAGCATGTTGATTATATCCTTCCATTGGCCAATTTTTTATTTGCTTTTTTTTTTTTTAACTGAAAGCACCAATGATATGATCAAGGTGGCGGTTGCAGCTTGTCACTAATTTGATTGTCTGCAGGAAATTGGAGAAGAATTTGTTGAGTTTTTGGAGAAAGAGCTGAACATTTCTGACGTTGAAGCGGAACAAACCAAGGGTAACCAGCAGCAACGGGGTAATGCATCCTACGGATCAAAGGAAACAGGAAATGTAAACCAAAATGATGCAGGCAACAGTGGGATCGAGGAAAATATCAATGATATCGAGGCAGCCCTTGCGCAGTTGAAGAAGGAACTGGGTCTTTAAGGATTCTACGCTCAAAAAGATTTAGGAATGAGGACTAAAACTTGTTGCTTTTGGAATGGGATTTTGAGGAATCGGGTTGTGATTTTGGTATAATTTTCTGGTTGGATGAACCCAAACAGCTTCCGGCTAACGCTGCCTAATCTGCGACAGGATGTTTTACGTCAAAGTTGAATTTTTTTTCACCCGTACTATCTGAAATTCATGGTGGCCGTCTCGCCAGATTCCAAGTGTACAAGAATTGTGTAAATCT